GCAAATGGAATAAATCTAAGCTTAATCGCATCTTCGGTTAATTCTCTCATTTTTATCATAATACATACTTCCTCAAATTCCGAGATAAATATATATGCATCTTCTGTTTCATTACCTAGGAATTTGGGAAGCATGTTAATGAAATGCGGTCTAAGCTCGAAATTTGCTCCATTTACTTCGGGGAGTCTTATGCAAGATGGAATTGCATTTCTGGTGGGGTAACACATATCCTGAAGAACTGGTTGATTTGCCATTTCTTGGATTGGTTCAACACGGATTAAGCGATGAAAATTATCCCGAACCCAAAATTGCATACACCAAAACAAATTTTTTTTTTAAAAAAAGAAAAATTTTTTTTTTAAGGAAAGAAAGAAAATTAGTTTTTTTTTTATATGAGAAGATAAAGAAAAAGAAAAATCCTAACTAAAACAAATCAAGGCAATCACTTTTCAATCAACTCTAACTCTAGGGTTTAGCCTAACTCCACTAGACCAGCTCCTAACCAAAAATTCCTACAGTGAAAAGATCAAAGTTTTACCCAGGTAGTTAGCCAGGTAAGGATAGTACTAGAGGGTGATCAAAGATCAATTAAGTACCTCTTTCCTTGCGGAGCGCTTTACGCAACCCCTAAACCTTGCCTTAGACACCAACTATTCTAAGAAAACTTAAACCGTTCACTTAAGGATTTCTTGTTCCTTATTGAGCTCGAATCCTTAGGGGCCAACGTCTAATGAGTTTTAGAAGGCTTGGATTTGTGAAGTGAGGAATTAGTGATTTGTGGGCTAAGGAAAGGGTGATGAAATCCCTTACCTTATCTTGATTGGGGTTTTGCCTTTAAGAATTTTTTTAAGTGTGTGCCAAATCAAGTGCAACAATCACTTTGGTGAAGTCCTACACTATATGAAATGCAACCCTAGAAATTAAAAGCGACTAAAAAGGATGGTAAAAAGAAAATCTTTATATTTTTTTAATTATGGTCAACAATAATCAAAAGTGAGAAGGGGAAAATTGTTTGAGTTTATTATCTTGTTAGTTAATATCTAAGTGAAAGATGGATTTTATTATGGTCAACAAAAATAAAATCTTTTTTTTTAAATCCTAATTGTCTCTAATTGTGAAGCTAGCTAAAGAGGGTGGAATTGAAAACTAGAAAGAAGACTTACCCGAAAGCAATGCTCCAAATTCTTGATCTTCAATTCGAGATTTTCAAGCTCCAAGTGGTTCCTTCACAAGAAAAATACACAAGTTAAAGAATCAAGTTAATAAAATCCTATTTTAGCACCTTCCCCGGCAACGGCGCCAAAAACTTGGTGCGACATAATTATGTACCAAAATTGCAAGTGCACAATTCATCAAGTTATAGTATAAAAAAGATATTGATCCCACGAAGAAGGTGATTTTAAGAGATTATTAAACTTGGTTCTTATATTTTGTGCGTGACAATTAGGAATAAAGAATAATTGTGATTGTATGAGTGGTTATTTTGATTTATATGCAAGAGGTAATAAATTGAATTTTAGAGGAGAGAAGGAAGAATTAAAGAATAAATGAAATCATAAGGCAAGAAATATGAATTAATAAAATCAAGAAATAAAACCAAAAATGAAAAGAAAATTTAAGAAAGTTAAGATGAAGGATTCAAAAGAGGTAAGAAATCTAGAATATAATCCACTAACCAATTTCAATTACAAAATATAAACTATTCTCTTTTTATCATATTTCAACTTAGATTTATTAAGCATAGATTATCAAACCATTTAAGGAAAGTGTAACCTATCAAATTATCATCTAAGCTAAAATTACTATTCATGATAAGAACAACAACATGATAATAATCCTAGAATTCATAAGCATAACCTATCAAACCATTTAAGATAAGCATAGATTATCAAATTCTTCTTCTACCGATTAGTTCTCTAGTTGATTATCCTAAACATGAACATTTTAAGTACAAGAGAATAATTCATACAATATAAAAGAAATTAGACTAGTTTCATACAATTCTAAGATTCTTACAAGAATTAAATTCACATCTTAAGAAATAAAAACAAGAAAAAGAAGACTAATTACAAAATTAAAAAGAAAAGAAAAATCTAAACTATGAACAAGAAATAAATCTAATTACAAAGAAAATAAAAATCTAAACTACAAAATAAATTGCAGAAATTAAATGCAAGAAAAATAAATCTACTCTACAAATTAAAGTGCAAAAAGAAAATAAAAAAGACAAGAAAGTAAATCTATACTACAAGCATGAATTTAAATCTAACTAATAAGCAATAATAAAGAAATTACTAAAAAGAAATAAAAGAGAAAAGAAATGCAAACCTTCAAATTGCTCTTCATCTCCATCCTCATCATTCAACAAAGAGGAGAAAGAACAAATTTAAAGAGGAAAAAATTATTTTTATTAATTGCAACTAAAGTTACAATTTTTGGAAGGCCTTCTCAATTAAGAGTAGCCCTCCTCTCCAAAAGGAGTTTACAAAATTTTCACACCTCTAACCCCTCACTCTCTACCCCTATTTATAGTAAACATCAGTGAATGAGAGCCATTGGATTCAAATCTTATCCAAAACCAACAAAAATCAGCCATTGGATTGTAACTGCCTGGACGTCCGTATCGATACCCGCATCGATAGGGGTATCGATGCGGGCATCGATACAGGCATCGATGCGGGCATCGATGCCCCCATCGATGCAGGCATCGATGCCTGCTCTTCTCCTGTTGCTGTCCGCAGAACTCTTTGCTTTTGGGCTTGTGTCTTGGGCTTTGGCTTGGACTTTTGGGCTTGGCATTTTCTCTTGATTTTCCATTGGGCTTTGAATTATTTGAAAGAATTCCTTTGGCTTCATGGGCTTCATTTCTTCATTAAATCAAGGGGTTTTTGTTGAGATATTGGAGTTTGAGATTTATTCATCATTAACCTGCAATTAACAGATAAAAGCAATTATTAGTGGTATATTTATTCATATAAAATAGATAATGAGGGTATAAAAATTATAATAAAATGTGATTATCAATGTCAATTTGGTAATCTAATGTGGTGACATTAATGATGATACTGTACTGCATCACCAAAGAAGACACAGAGTACCCTGAATTCACCAAGGAGACATCATAACCAGCAGCTGCTGCAGCTTGTATGTACTACATATGGTACGCAATAAATACAAAGGTATTCCTTAAAAAAAGAAAGATACATTTTGAGGAGTATTTCAAGCATATAGTTTTTGAGATCAAAGTCAAGTGATTCAAAAATTTAAGAGACTGTGCTTTGCAATGCTCATCTGCCCTGATTTCACTTAAGCCTAAGAAGAGGAGCTCAGGTTGAAGCTTTTGTCATTAACTAGATTTTCTTTTGTTAGAGAGTCTTGTATAGAGGCCATTCTGTGAATTTTGCATCACTCGGGTATGCCTGAGTTACCTTGTAAATGCTTTAAACGTTCATAATTAATGAGAATTTTCTATTTTTATTAACCAAAAAACATAGTTGTAATAATGAAGACATGTGAGAATGAGAGCTCAGTTACCTTTTGACAGCAAGAATCGAAGTAAGATACTGCTGCTGGGCATCTGCCAGTGCCAGAGATCATCATAACGATGGCTAAGTCGCTTTGCTTCCATCTTTCATACTAAAAACTCCAGTGTCATCGAAGGCAACGATGGCACCATCAGGCAGAGGGAACTGCCGAAGACTATAACCACCTGAAAAGTAAATATGATTGGGTTTTGGATGGCAATTTGGGAGACGACCATCGACAGAGAGAGATATAGAATGGCCAATTTCCCGTATCGCACTTCTGCATCCGCTGTGTCAAAGTCTTTGGCCACACGTATCCACCGTTGTCCCGGTTTAGCAGCACTTGGCGGCAGGGATTCACAGCCGCATCAGCAAAAACCTGAGAAAAGTGAAATAGTGCTGCAGCCACTGCTGATGCTGTCCTGCCAAACCAAGCTCAAATCCCACTTCTTCTATTACATAACTGCTGACAAGATAACCCGCGAGGTCCTTTCTGGTTATTGATGCGGACATGAGATTTGCTTTGCTCATCTGCGTTTATTAGTACCAAAAGGAGAAACTTAAAATAAAGACCAATAAACATTTTCTCCAACCAGTCACCCCTATGTCAACCTCTGTGATACTGACATTCATTGAACCTGAACATAAAAACTTGTGTATCAAATCCTACAGTCGACGCAGGTTGATGTGAACTCCGTGTTGTGGCTGCAGAGTTACGACAGTATATGGCGCATGAGAATACAAAGGTGAGAGCTCAAAGGAGAAGTTCTGTAGAATTAGAGCCAGAGCCATCTTCACTTCAATCATGCCAAAAGTCAGTCCTAGACATATCCTTGGCCCGCATCCAAAGGGATAGAATGCATTCTGACCCCCTTTTAGCTGCCTTTGAGATCACTTCTGAAAATCTCACTGACTTGAAATCCTCTGCATCATCACCCCATAATTTTCAATCGTGGTGAATGAGTATTGTAGGCAGTGCAAGATTGACGCCGGTTGGGAAGTGAAGCTCTCCTACCTTTGTTCCTTGTAGGGATACCCTAATAGAACGAAAATCAGTGGGGATAATCTCAAAACTTCATGAAGTGTCATTGTAACCTACATTCAAATTTTCTTCAGCTTAATTGAACTAGAAAAATGACACAACATGATTTCATGTTTGTTAGAGTATAAAAATCTTAATCTGCAACTCTCATAATAACTTCGAAGTTTTGGATAATAGAAGGGACTTTAAGAGCAATTTGGTGAGAGTTGAAGGCTGTGATTTGTACTCTAACATGCCTTCACAAACAACTAGCAGACATATTGCAATTCCATGCAGATAAAATCTCAAACCCCGAAATGTTAGGCGAATAAAATTAGAAACAGATGAAAGAGTATATAACTTCTTTATGATTATAGGCGCTCATTTATGTATGCTATGGATACCCTTCAAGAAATCAACATACAGTAGATTCACATAATTCAGCACAAGCAAAATTTCCCATGCAAATGTCATCAAATTTTTCAAAACGAGTTCTGTTACAAGTGAAATCACTACGAACAGGGTTAGGTAACAAAAAAATGACCCGGAAAAAGTAGGAAGTACCAATTTTCATGTTTATCTTTCTCTATCTATACATAACCTTTCTGGGTGGCTATGACTTAACCAAAGCTATGTTATATCATTCTGATGTTAATCCAGTAGCTTCCTTGGGAATCAAAAAGAGGAAGGCGACTGGAATAAGCGTGCATATTTGTTGCACAATCAATCCATAGAGAAGATTATCGTAAGATCCTGATGAAATGTTGAGCATTGAAGCCAGGGAAGCACCGGAGAATGAGGCAAGAGTGGAGCCTAAGTTGTTTATGGACATGAAGAGAGCAAAAAGAGTTCCTTCAATTCCAGGAGGGCAAAGTTGTCCTGATAAGATCAGGAACGGCATTAACCTGCACAATAGACAGATATCATAAGTTTAAGCAAATAAATCTAAGGGTTTTAAAAAAACAAAGTTTGGGCATTTTCACTTAACCCCAAAAAGTTTCGTAATTCCACTTAACTGCCAATACGTTTTGTCCGAAACCCCCCAAAACTAACACCTTTAATCCTCATTTGAAGACAAAATGACTAAAATCCCTCTTACAACACTATATATATGTACACACACGCACTATCAAAATTCTCAATTTTGCATATACATGCCAGCATATTAGACAGATATCATGAGTTAAGTAAATAAATCTAAAAGTAGCTTAGCCTTGTTTTGTTTCGTAAGTTCGGCAGGCCTAAATATGATTGTTATTGGTTAAAGATCCTCTTTTCATTATAGTTAGATACACATGGGAAACAAAAGAAGGAAGAAAGCTTCAATACTAACAAAATTCTTTTAATATGGGTTTCTGCGTATTTAAAAACACTCGTTTTTAGGCTAACTGAAACAGAGGTTAAAAAGGCAAAAATTAGTAAATAAAAAATAAAATAAAATAAAAAAACTCAAGTATGATGTAATCAGTCTTGTCCATGGAATTCAAGAAGGGAGGACCACAGTATGAAGATACTTGGTATTATGAAACCGTTTTCTCTTTTACACCGTGGGAAACAGGGATACAAATATAGGCAAATTGGATGAAAATTATTGTCTTTATGCCACTACATAAACACTTCAATGAGTTTTCTGTGTTTCAGCCTCACCAAAAAATCATTCCAAACTCGTAGATCAGTGACCAAATAGCAAGAATTTACTACTTAATATGGACCTCCAATCTAACTCAAGAAAATCTATGCATCCAGATGCCTTAGAAATATAGTGTTGAACGCATTCTGCAAGCTTGAGCCTTGAGTGCAACCAGGGATTAACATTAATGCACATGAATTAGGAACCATGCTACATGCAACAATGTCTTATGAATTATTCCTAATTCTGAATGATGCTTAATACACATTCTAACACAATCTGTTTGTTCCTGCCACATATAAAAATGATTCTCATTCTAAAATTCCATCCACCAAAAAAAGAAAGGATTCATCTCATTCTTGTGTGAGCATGCACGCTCTTGCAGGACTAAGAAACACCCCATACCCGTGGGATTTTATCGGCTATCAGTTCAAGCGGAATGCATAATCTAGACCCTAGTTTACATCTTAAAGTACATTTGGGACACGACAATAGAAAAAAGCTAAATTCATTAATGCAGTGACAAATTATTAATATGGATTTTATATGCAACTAAAAGAAAAGACTTCTCAGTAGAATCAGTTCCATTATCATGGTCACCAATATGTGAATAGGGACGAATGGGAAAATTTTCCAACTCCACTAATAAACTGAAGAATGAAAGATTTACATCTTAATAGTAAAGAATTCTGATTGTTTACCTGATCTACTAATAAGAACAAATTCTATAATTTTATGATCTGCTTCAGACTATTGTTATCTCTAACTAAATGTGTGTGCCCTCTACGGCTGATAAATGATAAAAATAATTACGTTGTCTGGACAGGGTCATTGTAAAGCAACATTTCTGAAGAAAGTGTTATGCAGGCGACATACTTGAACTGGTTAATTGTATCCCATGCAGCTGATCCACCAAGCACCATGTACTTATCAGGTATTCCAAGCTGAATATTTGATCGAGTTACTAGAGCAATGTGCAGAAAGTTCATAATGCCAAGACCAACATGAGCAAACCTGTCATGTCAAATAAAAAAATCACCATCAGTACAAATTGAATACAAGGTATCAAAATGGAAGCTTCAATATAGAATGCAGATGCAGTATGATTTCAACAAGTTGCATAGGACATATAAAAATTAAGACAACTGTTATTAAGTATAAGATTGTTAAACAAACTAAATAAATGATATTAAAAGAGAAAACAGGATTAATTCCAGTTATGCTGAATTTTGGAAAAGTGAATGAGTATGGTTGTCCAATAGCTTTACAGAAACAGGATTATATAAAATCCAACTTTGCATTCATTAAGAAACAGAAGGCACTTTTTCATGAACTAAAGGTTTAGGCTATTGCTCCTGTAAGCTTTTCTAACAGAGCCCTCAGATGAAGCAACAACGCCGGTAAAGCCCACTCATTTGTAGGTTTCACCCTATTGTCATGAAACCCACCAATCAAACAGCCAAAAGGGTATAGCTCCTAGCGAAGCTTGTACATTCCTCTTTTTTTCCCCTCTTTTGGTATGAGCTATAGAGAAGAAAACACCTAAGGAGAAAGAACAGTAGGGAGAAAATAAAAGTTGTGGAAAATGTAGGAAAATATGTGAGCTAAAGGACAGTCCAAACACGTGTCTTTTGAAAGCTTGTCAGCAAAAGCATCTCTTGCTCCGGTGGCCAGATAATTGTGAAATGGTAATTTTAGGTTGATACAAGGACAACCTAGGGTGGTCTGGGATTTATGAGAAATATTCTTGTGGCTAACTTGCTTCTTGTGTTCATTCTTGATTATCAGTTACAACATTGTTGGAGTTCTAATCGAAAGGGATGATCAGGGAGGAAATATTTTCACTTACGGAGATGGCAGTAATAACCAGTAATTACAATCTTTACTGGAGAACAATTAATTTATAGCGTAGGAACAGCTTCGATGCAGAAAGCAGAGAGCTAAGTCACATTCTAACAAAAAAGAAACAAAGAGGTTACGAAGTTCTAACCAAAAATAAGAAGGATGTCCTCCCAATGACAGGCATAGTTTAATAACTAGTGTTTTAAATGTCGGTCACCATGTCCATGTCCGACATGGCAAATTTAGAGGTCAACCGACACGGTATGGAGCTTTTCAATGCGTATTGCATTTTCAGGGTTCATGTTGGATATATTGGGAGAGATGTCGGATATGTCGGCTGGATATACGGGAGACATGCCTGCCAATTTTTCAGTCTGAAAAATTTATTGATTTTTTTTATTACGTTTATCTAATCATGTTTGAGTTTAAATTCCTGGTTAAACTAATATTGCTTCCAAAGGCAAAACCTGATCAATTAGTGGAAAAAAGGACCAAAGTTATTTCCGTCACTCCTCTTATCTCTCTCATTCAACATCTCATCGTCTGTTCTCCGAGTTGTTTCTTTGACATTAATATCGGGCAATCTTCTCTCTCCTTAACTACCAATATCGAGCTTCTCTTTCTCACCTCTTTCCTTCAACATCAACCATAAGCATCATAAATTATTTACTTTTTTATATGTTTAGACAGTAGAATTTATTAAGTATGTTTAGATTTCATTTATGATATTATATTACACATATGCATACGATCCAATATTTTTTCATATCCCCAGACATATCCCCGATTTTCGCTATCCGACATGAATTTTAGCCATCCAATATGAACCCGACATCTGACATATAAAACCTTGTTAAACTCATGAACTTAAGAAAGTGTACCAGCATCTTTAACCAAGACTAAAACCACAGATAAATTTATTTTATCTCCATTGAAGTGATAGACATCATATTCCTTCGTAAAGGAAAATTCGACATGGAAAAAATCATAACATAACTTCATTGATTTCTTATTTTCAAGGAGGAAGAAAAAAAATTGACTGTGGCAATAGTATGTGAGACATAGGCTCCTCCTCTCAGAGAGATGGCTGCATAGAACTTAATGCATTTCCTGAAATTGGTATTAGAAATCTAACTAGCCTTCATTTGACCTAGGATAAGCTCAATAATCCTCATATGAAGCATTATAAGGTTGCAGAAATTTACATCTGCTTTTAGTAGTTTCTCTAGCAAGTGTACTGTACACCTAATAATACAAATTAAAAATTAGCTTTTGATGGCAATTATTGTATTAAATCTCAAGTCATGTGAACGAGTATTCACAGAGTACCCACTTTAAGAACTTCCAAGAAAGTTTTATGAAAATTGCAATATGCATCTACTTGTAAATGAAATGTTGTTCTTTCAGAAAATGTAGATCAGAAGTCTCTTTCAGAGAATCCAAATTGCAGATGTTTCACCTCAAATGCTGCAGGAAAATGTTTTTTATGAAGCCAATCACTTATTCTGCTTAGATACAAGCTCATTTTCTATGAAATTACAAATTCTTAAGTTCGTGAAAAGAAAACAAGTTTTCCCTATACTCCTTCAAAAGTCGGCTGCTGAACTAGAACATTTGTTATTGCACTCAGATATATTGTTAACCAAGCCAACTCATTTCCATATTCAAGCATAGAGGACCTGATATCTTAAAAAAGCTTTGTTTCACATGAAAATGTATTTAGCATGATATTAAGTTTCTTAACACGTTCAATTATATTTTGGGTATTTTCTACCGTATTACCATAATATACAGAGAGAGCTGTCTTAACTCATTACCATAGAACTAGATGTTCGAGGCAGTTGTGAGACTTAAAAATGATATTCTTAGTTCTTCTTAAGAGAACCACAATTTACATCAGCAAAAGAACCACAAACTAAATGATGCAAAAAGATGAAGAGTACCAGAGCAACTTACATGAGAATTCTTCTAAGTTTCATATGTTTCAAATAGCGATTGTACGTATATGTACCGAGCATTAGGCCAAACCACCCAACCACACGAGCACTCCCCAAAAAGGATGCTTCCAAGTGCAACACTTCAGTCTGATAATAGAACATGACTGTTGAGAGATTGGGAACTGTAATATGTGAAAAGAAAAACCAGGCCATAGGCCTGAAATTCCAATTGGTCAAATATACAATAGTAACATCTCAGTCAAAACATTGTACAGGGAGTAATATGAAATACAAGGAGCCAAGTAGTAAAGTTGCTACCTTAAGATGATCGGCTGTCTAAATGTACAACACAAACTAAAGAAAGCCGATTTCAGAGATTCATGCCATCTTGCAGTTAGTGGTGAATGATGTTGTGCTGTAATCTCAGATTTTAAGGAGATGTTTTTCTTTTTATTCTTCTTATGGCTGCCTTTTCGTCTTCTCCTAATTTGGGAATTTGAATTCTCAGTAGAAGAACTGCTTATAGTACTGCTTGATTCAGTTTGATCCACCTTTGGAGTTTCTGAAGGAACCTCCTTAATAGAAGCACATGATAATAGCTGGATGATTGGAAGTATAGAGAAAAGCAGGAAAATTGTATCCATTTTAATTGTTGACAACATGTAACCTCCTAGTAAGCTCCCACATATTCCTCCCAAGGCCATTGCAGACCAGGATAATGACTGTAGATCCCCAGAAAATTCTGCTCTGGTCAAAGAATACTTTTCTCAAGTCAGATTCTGAATGTAGGATGTTCAAGAAAAGCAAGAATGATTAAGTTGAACATACTTCTCAGCACGAACTGCCTCTGCAATCATGGCATCAATAACAACATCTGCCATGGCATTTCCTAAGTTTTGTACTGTTAAGCAGGCCATCAAATAGTTGTGTGAACTCCGCAGAGATGTCAGACCAAGAACCAAGTATGGTTTTCTCCTCTTCCGTCGAATAGGTATGCAATCTGATAAAATTCTGCAGCAAGAAGGTATAGTAACTTGAAAAACAAACTGACATCAATTGCTTAAAAAGAGTGGGGAGCTTATTTTTTGGTCAAAGCAGTTTTTAAGCTAGGTTATGCATAACTACATGTTTAATGACATCTCAAATAAGCTAACTTACAAGCCTTATTTAAAAAACTAGCTTATAAGCTCATCTAAATAAGCTAGGTTTGACCAAGCAAATGACTTTTCTACCCTTATAAGTTTTATGAAAATTTATCATCAAAGTCAAACGCCACTAAAAGCTAACATAGCTTATAAGCTTTCTGAAGAATTGGCTTTCAGGCTCAGGTTTCAGACAGACTGGGTGGCGGTCGACCGTGACGGTCGACCGCGTTCGTGCACGAGGTT